CCTGATCGGTCAAGGCTCTTTCAACTGGCACGATTACATCCTCGTTCCAATTCTTGACACTCTTGACCTGATCCCAGATTGTCTCGCCGGAAACGGTGATGGCTTGCTTGTTGAGCATTCCGGCCTCGCCGAGACGTTTGATCACAACAGGCAGACCGCCGGCGTAGAAAAATTCTTCCATCAGATATTTGCCGGAAGGCATAAGGTCGACGATCGTCGGCACGTCGCGCCCAAACTCGTCCCAGTCGTCAAGCGTGAGATCGATCCCGACGCGTCCGGCAATTGCCAGCAGGTGAATGACGGCGTTGGTTGATCCGCCGATCGCCCCGTTGGTCCGGATCGCGTTTTCAAAAGCTTCCCTGGTCAGGATATCCGACGGCTTCAGGTCGTCCTTGACCATCTGAACGATGCGGCGGCCGGTCAGATGCGCCATGACACGTCGTCGGCTGTCGACGGCGGGAATGGCGGCATTTCCGGAGAGCGCCATTCCAAGGGCTTCTGCCATCGATGCCATGGTAGAGGCCGTGCCCATGGTGTTGCAGCTGCCGGGCGACCGACTCATGGATACTTCGGCTTCGAGAAATTCCTCTCGGGTCATCTTGCCTGCCTTGACGGCCTCTGAAAACTTCCAGAGATGGGTTCCTGAGCCTACTCTTTCACCGTGGAACCAGCCATTCAGCATCGGCCCGCCGGAGACGGCGATCGCTGGCAGGTTCACGGAGGCGGCTCCCATGAGCAGGGAGGGTGTTGTCTTGTCACAACCAACGAGCAGAACCACGCCGTCGAGAGGAGCCCCGCGTATGGCTTCCTCAACATCCATGCTCGCGAGGTTTCGGAACATCATGGCTGTTGGCCGCAATGTACTCTCACCCGTCGAGAAAACGGGAAACTCGACGGGAAACCCGCCCGCTTCATATATTCCGTGTTTGACGCGTTCGGCGAGGTCGCGCAGATGAGCATTGCACGGCGTGAGTTGTGACCATGTATTGCAAATGCCGATGACCGGACGTCCGTCAAACAAGTCGTCCGGCAATCCCTGGTTTTTCATCCAGCTGCGATGATAAATATTATCCCGGCTGGTGCCGCCAAACCACTCCGCGGATCTCAGTTTCCTCGGCCATTTTGCTGGTTGGAAAGTCATTTTTCCTAAAGCACCCTGACCGCAGTCATGCCGCTGTCCCTGACTTCAAAGGTCAACCGGTTTTTCAGCGGCACACCGAAGCCCTTTGCGGCAATTTCAACAACATCCCCGTCAATGCAAGAAATACCGTCAGCGAAGGAGAGCGTAGCCGTTCCGAACATGTGGACATGAACATCACCTGGCTGGCAGAACAGGTCGTACTTGAAGTGATGATGTTCCAGGTTGGCCAGGGTGTGAGACATGTTGCTTTCGCCGGACAGGAACGGTTTCTGCCAAAGGACCGATCCATCGCGAATTAGCCGGCTGGTTCCTTCAACATGATCCGGAAGGTCTCCGACGAGCATTTCCGGTCCGAAGGAAGCAGGGCGCAGTTTTGAATGGGCCAGATAAAGATAGTTCTGCCGCTCCATGACGTGATCGGAGAATTCGTTCGCCAGCGCGAACCCGACCCGGTGAGGCGTCCCATCCGGGCCAATAACATATATCCCGGCGATTTCGGGCTCCTCGCCGCCGTCGTCACAAAACCCGGGGCTGACCAGATCGCTGCCGGGAGCGACGGCACTGGTTCCGTTGCCTTTGTAAAACCACTCCGGTTGCACCCCGGCGCGACCATTGGTCGGCTTGCCGTTCTTCAACCCCATACGGAACATTTTCATGGAATCCGTCAGCTGGGTCTCGTCCGTCTCTGTCTTGGCGTGCATGGCATCCCGGGTTGCGGCCGAGCCCAGGTGGGTGAGGCCCGTTCCAGTCAAGTGCATGTGGGCCGGATCCGGGTGGTGAAGGGGAAGGAGCAGGCGGCCGTCTTCCGACAGTTTTTCAAGGTCCACAGCCGGTCCCAGTTCGTGGGAGCGAATACTCTCGGCCAGACATTGACCACTCCCGATTGCATTCATGACGAGCTGATAGGTCGACGAAACCCCTTTGAGGATACCTGCTTCGCTGCCGTTGCGCACAACAACGGCGCAGTTTCCTTCTGTATCCAGGATCTGTGAGAGCAGCATTTGACTATCCTTGCTTGTTCTTGTTGTAGACGTCGAAAATCACGGCAGCGAGCAGGACAAGCCCCTTGATCATCTGCTGGTAGTCTATGCCGATGCCCATGATCGACATCCCGTTGTTCAGGACACCCATGAGGAAAGCGCCGACAACCGCGCCGATAATCGTGCCCACGCCACCGGACATTGAAGCACCGCCGATGAAGACCGCGGCTATAACGTCCAGTTCCAATGCAAATCCGGCCTTCGGGGTTGCCGTATTCAAACGGGCGGCAAAGACCAGGCCTGCCGCGGCAGCCAGGACCCCCATATTTGTGAAGGCAAGGAAGGTGAGCCTTTCTGTCTTGATGCCGGAAAGTTTGGCGGCCTTTTCATTGCCGCCGAGCGCATAGATGCGGCGGCCGATAGTGGTCGTCTCGGTGATGAAGGCATAAATGATCGTCAGCACACCCATCGTTATCAGGACGTTGGGCAGTCCGCGGAACAGCGACAGTTTGTACATGACGAAAATGAGCGCGGCAGCGACAATGATATTGCGCGCAAAGAAGAATATTTTCGGCTCATCCTCGATGCCGTAAAGCCGGTTTTGTGCCCGCTGGCGAAGACCGATCCAGACAATCATGGCTGCTGCTGCGATACCGGTGAACAGCGCCAGCATGTTGACATGCTTGACACGACGGATCTCGAGTAGATTGGCCAGGGAGTCGCCCCAGCTTACGGGAAAGATATCGGGAACAAATCCTGTTGCCAGAATCTGAAACTCCTTCGGGAACGGCCCGACGGACTGTCCTTCCAGCAACCAGAGCGAAAGACCTCTGAACACCAGCATCCCGGCAAGCGTCACGATAAAAGAGGGGATTTTCCAATAGGCAACCCAATAGCCTTGCGCCGCTCCTATGATGCCACCGACGCATAGACATGCAACAATGGTCAGCGGAACCGATTGATCCAGGTTGACAATCATCACGGCAGCCAGTGCGCCGATGAAGCCCATGACCGACCCGACCGACAAATCGATATTTCCCGAAACGATTACAATCAGCATGCCGAGTGCCATGATGATGATATAGGAATTCTGCAACAGCAGATTGGTGACATTGACCGCACGCAGCAGGGTGCCGTCGGTGACGATCTGGAAAAACGCCATCACTGCAATGAGGGCGAACAGGAGGCCGTATTGTCTCAAATGCGACGACAGGTATTGCCCGATGCTTTTCGTCTTTACCTGTGGCGCAGGATTTGTATCGCTTTGTGCCAAGTCCATGACTAAACTCTATTCGTTTACTATGAGCGACATGATGCGCTCCTGGCTTGCGTCTTCGGCATTCAGTTCACCGACAAGAGCACCTTCGTTCATCACGTAAATCCGGTCGCACATTCCGAGCAGTTCCGGCATTTCAGAAGAGATCATCACAACGCCTTTGCCTTGGTCCGCCAGGTCGTTGATAATGGTGTAGATTTCGTACTTGGCTCCCACGTCGATCCCCCGGGTGGGCTCGTCAAGGATCAGGACTTCGGGTTCCGTGAAGAGCCACTTGGCCAGAACGACTTTTTGCTGATTGCCACCTGAAAGGTTCACCGTTTTCTGGAACACCGATGGCGTTCGGATCGCCAGGGCTTTCTTGAACTTTTCGGCGACCTTCGTTTCGTCATTCCGCTTCAGGACAGATCCTGAGGATACGCCCTCAAGATTTGCCAGAGTGGTGTTGAATCGGATTGTCTCATCGAGAACCAGGCCAAGCGATTTCCGGTCTTCCGTGACATAGGAAATACCCGCACTTATTGCCTTGTCGACGGTACTGACATCTATTTCGTTGTCGTTCAGTTTCACCGAACCCGAGATATTGCGGCCATAGGATCGACCAAATATGGACATCGCCAGCTCGGTGCGGCCGGACCCCATGAGACCGGCGATACCGACAACCTCACCGGCGCGAACGGCAAAGGAGACATCGCGTATGACCTGTCGTCCGGTGTGCTCCGGATGCCAGACATCCCAGTTCTTGACCTCAAGCAAGAGCTTTCCCGGACTGCGTTGGTGTTCCGGGAATCGGTGCGTCATTTCTCGCCCGACCATGTCGCGAACAATCTCGTCCTCGCTCAATCCGGCCTTGGCATCCAAACGGGAAACAGTCATGCCATCTCTGATGACTGTGACCGTGTCTGCGACGTAGCGGACTTCGTTCAGCTTGTGCGAGATGATGATGCTGGTGACACCTTGCGCTTTCAGCTCGAGCATCAGGTCCAGAAGTTTTCGGCTGTCGTTTTCCTGAAGCGCGGCAGTCGGCTCGTCCAGAATGAGAAGCTTGACCTGCTTGGAGAGCGCTTTGGCGATTTCCACAAGCTGCTGTTTTCCCACGCCGATATTGTCCACCAGTGTGGACGGTGCTTCGACCAGTCCAACTTTTGCAAGAAGCTCTTCGGTACGCCGGTTGGTTTCCCGCCAGTTGATCACACCACTTTTGGCGCGTTCGTTGCCCAGGAAAATGTTCTCGGAAATGGAGAGTTGGGGCACCAGTGCCAGTTCCTGGTGAATGATGATGATACCCTGGCGTTCGCTGTCTGAGATGTTGGCAAATTGCGCCGGTGCTCCATCAAACTGTATTTTGCCGTCATAGGATCCGTGGGGATAAACACCCGAAAGTATTTTCATGAGTGTGGATTTCCCCGCGCCGTTTTCGCCAACGACTGCGTGAATCTCACCTTGCTGAACATCAAGATTGACCTGGTCGAGAGCTTTGACACCCGGAAAGGTCTTGCTGATGTCTTGCATCGACAGGAGTGCCATCTACTCCGATCTCCGTGTTCCAAAAAAACCCGCCCGCAACTGAAGGGTTGTGAACGGGTCTTTTGCCGGGCCAAACTTACTTGACTTGATCAGCCGTATAGTAACCGCTGCCGATGAGGACATCTTCCCAGTTGGAAGCATCGACAGCCACCGGCTCCAGCAAATAGGACGGAACCACCTTGACACCGTTGTCATAGGTTTTGGTGTCGTTGATTTCAGGTTCGCCGTCATTGAGGATGGCCTCAACCATTCCGACCGTAACGCGGGCAAGTTCGCGTGTGTCCTTGAAGACGGTTGAGTGTTGCTCGCCGGCAAGAATGGACTTGACGGATGGAACTTCGGCGTCCTGTCCGGAAACAATCGGCATGTCAAGGTCGCCGGAACCATAGCCGACGCCTTTGAGCGACGACAGAATGCCGATGGAGAGGCCATCGTAAGGGCTTAGTGCACCATGCAGTTGTTTGTCGGTGTAGTGGGCGGAAAGGAGGTTGTCCATGCGCGACTGGGCGACAGCGCCGTCCCAGCGAAGTGTTCCGACAGTGTCCATGCCCATCTGGCCCGAAACGATGTTGATGGTGCCCGCATCGATGAGTGGCTGAAGCACCGACATCGCGCCGTCGTAGAAGAAATAGGCGTTGTTGTCGTCCGGAGAGCCGCCGAATAGTTCAACATTGTAGGGACCGTCGCCAAAGCGCTCTTTCAGGCCGTTGACCAGCGAGGTTGCCTGCTGAACACCAACCTTGAAGTTGTCAAAGGTCGCATAATAGTCGACGTTGCCGCTGTCACGGATCAACCGGTCATAGGCAATAACCTTGATTCCGGACGCAGCTGCGTTTTCCAGGGCGTTGGACAGCGTCGTTCCATCGATCGCCGCGATTACCAGAACATCGACACCTTTGGTGATCATGTTTTCGATCTGCGCCAACTGATTTGGAATATCGTCTTCCGCATACTGAAGGTCGGTTGAATAGCCCGCGGCCGTGAACTGCTCGACCATTGAGTTCCCATCGGAGATCCAGCGGGCGGACGACTTGGTTGGCATGGCGATGCCGACCGCACCCTTGTCGGAAGCGAAAGACACGCCGGACATCAGTGTTGCTGCCGCAGCGGCCGCAATCAGCGCTTTGGAAAAGAATTTCATGTGTTCCTCCCTGGTCAGCACAATACCGACCCTAAAATGACGGGCATCCCTAGATGCCGTTCTCAAACTTGCGAAAAGACACATGACCGTCAAATCATTCTTTGCTATCAAAGCTTACCGAAAAAGATATGATTCAGAGGGCGCAGCTTGGCACTGGACTTGTTACGGCGTGGAATGAAGATTTCGCATTTGCGGCTGTTGGCGGAGCTCGTTCACCAGAGCCGATTGACGGATGCTGCGTCTGCATTGGGGATCACGCAGCCCGCGGCATCGCGCCTCATGTCGGAAATCGAACATGTTGCGGGCGCTGAAATCTATGTGCGCAGCGGGCGTGGTATCGAGTTGACCGAAGTCGGCCGGAAGCTGGGGGAGCGCTGCGTCAGGGTGCTTCAAGAACTGACTGATGCCGCACTGGATGTTGAACACCACGTTTCCGGACAGAGGGGGCATGTGAACATCGGGTCGGTCACAGGGCCAGCGGTGGAATATGTCTTGCCCGCCATCAGGCATATCCGTTTGAGCTATCCGGAAATATCCGTTTCGGTTGAGATCGGACCAAGTGTGGTACTGGCGCCAATGCTTGAAGACGGACGGCTGGATTTTTCGCTGAGCCGTGTTCCCCTGAACGCGGATCCGGACCTTTTCGACGAGCGGCCCTTGCGCCGTGAGCCGGCATGTATGGTTGCGCGGTTGGATCATCCCCTGACGCGTCACTCAACGCCTGTGACGGCGAGTGCCCTCCTGGGGTTTGACTGGGTGTTTCCCCCGGTCGGCGCCCCGATCAGAACAACTGCGGAATGCGCGCTTCGCGACATGGGGCTTCAGCTTCCGCCCAAAATCCTGACGACGTCATCGTTTCTTTTTACACTCGCAACCATTCAACGTTCGAATGCCATCGGACCAGTTGCCCGGTCCGTCGCGGAAAGTTTCGCGTGGTTGCCGGACGGATCACCAGGCTCAATAGGCATATTGGAGACAGAACTGTCCTTGTTCGTGGAGACTTATTCCTTCCTGACTCGAAAAGGCCAGGTTCCCACCGCAGCCGCGCAGATCGTGTCGCGGGAAGTCCTTCGTGAAGTCAACGGAGAAAAGATACAGGCCTAGGTTTCGGCAAGGTTGGGCCGGTCTGCAAGGCACATATTGACCTGGATATCTGTGCCGTCACCTCGCGTCAGAGTGGGCCCGTCACCGACGGACGGGTTTCGACGGGCTGTTCGGCGAAAACGGGCATTCACAAGCGCGGTGCACGAGGCTGTGGGCGGCTGGGAGTGGTCATTCAGGCGGGTCCGGCCAATGTCCGCATTGAGCCCAGGGCGACCATGAGAGGCAACTGTCAAGTTGCCTCTCATGGTCCATCGCGCCGAGGTCAGTCAGACCGTCAAGCTGATGTTGAACTTGTTTCCGTCTGGGTCACGAAAATAGCCACCGTAAAAGTGCTTGCCCCGATTGCCCGGGGCTCCTTCATCGGTTGCACCGAGCTCAATCGCTAGAGCATGAACGGCATCGACTTGATCTTGATCCTTTGCTGCAAGCGCAACCATGGTACCGTTTCCGTGAAAAGCAGTCTCGCCATCGTAAGGCGTGGTCACGATTATCTTGGGTTTTTCAGGTCCAAAACTATAGGCGATCATGTTGTCTAGGCTAAAGGCGCGCGTGCCGTTTATTGCGCAAAACAGCGCATCGAAAAAGGTTGCGGAAGCAGCAAGGTCATTTGACCCAAGAGTAATATAGCTAATCATGATTTTTCTTTTTGCATGAGTAATTACTGCGCCCAAAGAGGTGGCGCACTGTAAAACCAAAGAGTGGTTTGCTTGGAGATACTCAGGCAATCATGCGTGCACCGTATCTGCCCAATGGCGGATTGGCAACGGCAGCTTCGTCCGCACAGAAGTTATCTGGCGATTGACAAAACATACCGCCCGACACGCCCCCGATGACTAGATTGGATACTTTGAAACTGATTTTGAAAACCGCGAAATTTATTCTGGTAGGGTCTTGTGTACCGAAAACGCTATCACTTTACGTGATATGGCGGACAGAGAGGGATTCGAACCCTCGATACGGTTGCCCGTATACACGCGTTCCAGGCGTGCGCCTTCAGCCACTCGGCCACCTGTCCATCCGAAGCAGCACCGTAGCCCCGCTTGAGTGCCGCGCAATATACTCAGCTATAGGTCAAGTGCAAGCGCCTGAACGAGTTTTTTTTGAACGGGTGCCAACCTGTGGAACATGGCTCGGATCAATCGGCTCTGACACGATCGTCAGTGGCCCAAAATCCGATTTGTTGCAGGAAAATTCACAAGAATGTGTTGTACGTCAATCTTTGTACAATAGAATTGCGCTATTACCTTAAGTCAGCGCCCGGCATTTTCCATTTTTCGATGTGTCTGGCGGAAGAACAAAATATGTGCTCGACGAAAAAAATTTTTATAAGGTCAGATATCAAAATGTTCAGCGTATTGAAATTTATATTCCGTCTGACGGGACTGGCATTGCTTGCCGTCGCTATTATTGCCGGCATCTCCGACGCCAGCACGTCGATTGCCCAGTCTCAGGTTCAACTCCAGCCCCTGGGGCAACTCCTGTTCAATCTTTTCCCCGATACTTTCCCGATCCTTCAGCCTGCCATTGAGCGTCACATCCATCCCGCGCTCTGGGATCCGGTGTTGCTGACACTCATGACCTGGCCGGTCTGGGCGGTATTCGCGCCGTTCGGTTTGCTGTTTCTGTGGCTCGGCGCGAGGCGCCAGCGTTACCAGACACAGTTCGCCTGAAGGAGCCGGCGGAACAGATTGGAGGCGCACCAGGGGACACTCCTGCGTGATGCCTCTTGGAATGTCGGCGCGAGTGCGCCACATTGCGGTCAATGATTGTGACAGAGCTCCTTCCCTGTCTGGTTTGCCGGGGAGGGGGCTGTTCTTATGGGAGATCCGCAATGTCCTTCATGACCATGTTGACCAAAAAGTTCTCCTTGCCCGGAAAGGAAGAGGCCCTTCCCGGGCGTACGGTGGCAATCGCGCCGTCCGAAGCGCATTTTGTGAACGGAAAGTCTCTCAACGGGCCTCATCCGGACGGAATGAAGACCGTGCTTTTGGGCATGGGATGCTTCTGGGGGGCCGAAAGGCTGTTCTGGCAACTGCCGGGAGTTCATGTAACCGCCGTCGGTTATGCGGGTGGTCATACCGCCAATCCCACATACAATGAAACCTGCTCCGGCCGGACGGGACACACGGAAGCGGTTCTTGTCGTTTACGATCCCGATGCGATCCGTTTGGAAGACCTGTTGAAGGTGTTCTGGGAAAGTCACGATCCAACGCAGGGCATGCGTCAGGGCAACGATACGGGTACGCAGTACCGCTCGGCAATCTATGTCAATTCGCCGGAAGACCTTGTTCTTGCCGAGCAGACACGCGATGCCTACCAGGTGGCCCTGAATCAGGGTGGTGTTTCCGCCTCGATCACCACTGAGATCCGGGAACTGGATACGTTCTATTTTGCTGAAGATTATCATCAGCAATATCTTGCCAGGAATCCTGCCGGATATTGCGGCATAGGGGGAACCGGCGTTGCGTGCCCCGCCGCAGGCTGACCGTTGATCTGAAAACGATTTCTGAAGTCGAGTGCGCCGCAGTCCAGTGACTGCGGCGCTTCTGTTTCGCCGCACGGCATATGTAAATTTTACGAGAGATATACTTCGTATCTGTTTCGGGGTTTTCTCGCGTTACGCTTTGATTCTTGAAAAAATTACTGATTTCAATGCTCTAACTTCGATAATTCAGCATTTATTAAAATTACCGCGCAATCGTCGGCACGAGTACAGGGGTACCGGGGGTTGATTCGATGACACGCTCCGCAAAGATCTTCGCGGGAGCCTATTTTCTGGGATGTTGTTCCCTGATGTTGCTTGCGTCGCTGGCGCCGGGCGGCAAAGGCCCCGTCGCGGTATTTGCAAAGCCCTGGGGCAAGCCGGCTATGGAAGTAATAGCAGGCGCGGAAGGCCAGATCATTTTCATACGAGATGGCACCTGGGTGGCGCTGACCGAATCCCCCGATCCGCAGTTTATCGACCGGCTCTATCGCGCAGGAGCTGGTTTTGTCGCCTCGACCGCTGTCGCTTATGCGTGTGCGCGCTGGTCAGGTGTTTCACTGGAGAAGTCTATATGAGCGATAGTTTGGCAGGACTTTCGGGCCTGGATTGCTTCCGGGAACGGTTTTCAAAGATCGTCATCTATTTCACGTGGTTCAATGTTGCTCTCGTTGCGATGACCGCGTGGTGGTTTGGAAACGTTTCCTTCGTTGTCGTCGCAGGTTCGGCGCTCGCGCTTGGTGTGGCCGCAACCTTTTCCTGGTTGAAATTCGGTGCCGGCACCGAAACGCGCCTTGCGACGTCAATGTCCCTGGCTGGCCTGGTCGCGCTGTTCGTCGCGGCACTTTCGGTGCCTGCCGGACAGAACTCGTTTCAGCTCGACGGCCACATGTATTTCTTCGCTGTGCTGGCAATTCTGGCAAGCTGGGTCGATTGGCGCGCTCTTGTTGCCTATGCCGCGGTTGTTGCCGTTCACCATCTGGCTCTAAATTTCATGATGCCCTGGGCCGTGTTCCCGAATGGCGCGGATTTCACGCGCGTTGTTTTCCACGCCGTCATTGTTGTCGCCGAGGTTGGTGCGCTCTGGTGGATGACCAACTCGCTGGCAGCAGCCTTCACCGCGTCCGACCAGGCGCGCGAAGAAGCCGAAAGGGCTCAGGCCGAGGCACTCCACTTGCAGGATGAAAACTCCAGGCACGCTGAAACGGAGCGCGCGAAACAGGCAACGATCGAACACAGGATCATGGCCTTCCAGGAAGAGGTTGCGGCCAAGCTGGATGGGGTGAGTGTCAAGGTCGAGGAAATGCGCGGGTCTGCGGAAGAGCTGGGATCTGTCGCCCAGGATACCACCGGCCGCGCGATTTCCGTGTCCGATGCGTCCGAAACAGCATCGTCCAACGTGCAGATGGTCGCTTCTGCTGCCGAAGAGCTGTCATCCTCTATCGCCGAGATCTCGCGTCAGGTCGAACAGACCACCAGTATCGTGATGCAGGCAACTGACAATGCGCAAACCAGCAACAGGAAAGTGGCTGGTCTGGCGGAGGCTGCCAATCGCATCGGTGAAGTTGTCACCCTGATCCAGGCAATTGCCGAACAGACGAACCTGCTCGCTCTGAACGCCACGATCGAGGCGGCACGCGCAGGCGAAGCAGGCAAGGGTTTTGCTGTGGTTGCCGCAGAAGTGAAGGAACTCGCCACCCAGACCTCAAAGGCGACCGAGGAGATTGGTGCCCAGATTTCGGCCATTCAGGCGGAAACCAAGGATGCGGTTGAATCCATTGGCGCCATCGCGGCCACCATGGATGAAGTCAACAGCTACACCGCCGCGATCGCGGCCGCCGTCGACGAGCAGGGTGCAGCTACACAGGAAATCTCCCGCAATGTTGCGGAAGCTGCTGACGGAACAGGACGGGTTGCGGAAAACATCGGGGGTGTCCGCGAATCGGTCGAACGCACCAGCCAGTCGGCTTCTTCCATGGCCGAGGCAACCGAAGTGCTGGATGCGGAAACCTCTGACATGCGCCGTGCGATCGACACGTTCCTGGACGACGTTGCGGCAGCATAAGACAACCCGTCACAGACAGGGACCTGTGTGTGACGTTTGTTGCAGTTACCAAAAAAAGACGTCTGCAATTGATCTGGCCGGCTATCAATCAGCCGGCCAATTTTTTATCCTGCCGAGAGAAAACTTGACCTGATGTCGCTTGGATGTCATGAGCCGCTCTTTACGAGCCACTTGAGCCATCTGAAACAGGGCACATTATGGTCGATAATTCTGCATCCATCGGAAATCGGCACGGAAGATGTCTGTAAGCGCGCTAAAGTCCGGATCGGTATTGCTTCTGGATCTCCTGAAGCAGCGCTCGGCAATGCACTTTTTCGACCCTGTCGAGATCGTCACCTGTTCGGCGCTCGAAGACGTGACGGATTGCCTGGCAAGACTGGAGGCCGTCCAGGCGGAGGGCAAGTTTGCCGCCGGGTACATGGCTTATGAACTCGGCTTTGCCTTCGAGGAGAAACTGAAGCGTCGGTTCAGGCACACCGGAGACCCGCTCCTCTGGTTTGGCGTTTATGAAAATGTTCGGGAACTGGGCCTTGATGAAGCCCGCGAGATGCTGGAAACGGCAGCCGAAGGCAAAGATGCTTTCGTGCAGCGGCCGGACTTCGATATGGACAGGTCAGGTTACGGCAAGGCGTTTGAACAGGTTCGCTCGCATCTCGCCAAGGGAGACATCTATCAGGTCAATCTGACGATGAGGGCAAGGTTCGCGCATGAGGGGACACCGGAAAGCCTGTTTCTGGATCTGATGCGGCGGCAGCCCGTCGAGTTCGCTGCGTTTGTCCGGACGGGCGACAGAACGGTTCTTTCCCTGTCGCCGGAGCTCTTTCTGGAGCGTGAAGGTACCTGCCTGCGGACCCGTCCGATGAAAGGCACTGCGCCACGTGGCCGTTTTGCGTCGGAAGACGTCAGGATTGCCAGGGAACTTGCAAGTGATCCCAAGCAGCGCTCGGAAAACACCATGATCGTCGACCTGATGCGCAACGACCTGTCGAGGATCGCCGATACGGGCACCGTCAGGGTCACGAAACTTTGTGATGTCGAGCGCTACCCGAGCCTTCACCAGATGACATCGACCGTGGAGGCCCGTGTCCCCGAAAGTGTTGGCTTTTCCAGCGTGATCAAACATCTGTTTCCGTGCGGGTCGATCACAGGTGCTCCGAAACTGAGCGCCATGCAGATCGCGCACAATCTGGAAAGCGGACCACGCGGTGTCTATACCGGATCCATCGGCTGCCTGGCGCCCGGTGGTGATTTTCGTTTGAACGTCGCAATCCGCACGCTTGTGCTGCGCGACGACGGCACCGGAGAAGCGGGAACCGGATCCGGTGTTGTCTTCGATTCCGGAGCCGCACCAGAATATGACGAGTGCATTCTCAAGCTGAAATTCATGACTGAGGATACGCCAGACTTCGAGCTGATCGAGACCATGGCCTTTGATCCCTCCGAAGGCTACCTGCTGTTCGAACGGCATTTGCAGAGACTGCACAAATCAGCGGCTTACCTCGGTTTCCGGTGTGACCTCGACGGCGTGCGCCGGGCTTTGCTCGACACGTCGTCTGAATTCACGGGACCTCGCCGCGTCCGCCTCCTTCTGAACACCGACGGCGGCGTTTCCATCACATCGACCGACCTGACACCGGTTGATCAGACGACCGTCTTCAATCTGGTTCTGGCACGGGAAAAAACACTCTCAACGGATCGCTTCCTCTATCACAAGACGACCAACAGGGCGTTTTATGACGACACCCGGAAACGCTACCAGGCCGAAACCGGCTGCCAGGAAGTCCTGTTCAGGAACGAGCACGGTAATCTGACCGAGGGCAGCTACATGACACTCTTCCTGAAAAAAGACGGCGAACTTCTGACGCCTGCTCTCGAACATGGCGTACTGCCTGGCACGCTGCGCGCCGGCTTGCTGGAGCGCGGCCTTGCCCGGGAAGCAGATCTCACTGCCGAGGACCTGGCAACCGCCGAGGAAATCTATGTCGGCAATTCGGTAAGGGGGCTCGTCCGGGGTCGTCTTCTGTCGGCAGCGCAGTCTGAAGAGACAGACCAACCGGAAAGCGAAGCTGTCGCCGTTGCCAGGCAGGCCGGCTAACGCAAATCGCGGCAGCCGAATGCTGGTCACTCGGCTGTATCTCCAGCGTTTGCAAGAGCGCCCTGTCTTGCCCTTCTTTTCGCATCGGAACTGGGCTCCAGGTGTCCTCCACTGACCCCCGGATGCGCACACAACAGGTATCAAACAGACCAGCAAGCGGTTCAATCCACCCGCCTGGCGGCGGCGGTCTTGAACTCGCATGCAGACAGCAAGGATCCGGTGAATTGCCTCAGATTGATCCTGCTTCGACCATGTAATTGTTCGCGCTGCACATCGCCGCGTCGTCAGACGCAAGGAAGAGAACCATGCGGGCGACATAAACAGGATCGATCAGATCCGGGAGACATTGACGCGTGCGATGGGCTTCCAGTGCTTCCGGAGTTGCCCAGAGTTCTTTCTGCCGCTCGGTCATTATCCAGCCAGGAACCACGGTGTTGACGCGGATACGGCTTTCGCCGAGGTCCCGGGCCATGGTGCGTGTCAGTCCATGCACGGCGGACTTGGCGGTGGCATAGGCCGGGAAACCACCACCGGCTTCCCACCACGAATTCGACCCCATGTTAATGATCGAACCGCCTCCTCGTTCCATCATGCCCGGTGCGACGGCCTGGATCGCGAAAAACATGTGGCGAAGATTTGTGGCCTGGCGCTCGTCCCAGTACTCAGGCGTCACGTCTTTCCAATCGTGTCGGTCATCTCGTGCCGCGTTGTTGACAAGGACATGCGCTGGCCCGAGACGGTCCGTCAATTTCGTGAGCGCGGATTGCATTGCCCCAATGTCGCGAAGATCGCAGATTTCATACGTGACATTTTCTTTCGAAGCGGCAATTGCCTCGCTCGCGGTTTCATCCAGATCCAGAAATCCGACACGGGCGCCTTGCGCGGCGAATGCTTCCACAATTTCGGCGCCGATGCCCTGGGCACCGCCCGAAACCAGAACGGTCTTGTCTTTCAAACTCGGATAAATGGCAAAGTCTGGCATCGAGATATCTCATTTGTTGCGGTTCGAGAACTGCACTTGCAGCCAAGGACAGTGAAAATATTCGCACGGTAAGCTGTAGGATACCCCGGATACGTCGGCAACGATTTCGAAGTAGATATTCCGTGTCCGACCCCTCAACGACGACGAACACCGGTCTTTGTGAACCTGTCGGCACCCGCAGCAGGCACAAAGCGGTTCCTACGGCCTGCCTCGATCATCCTCGTTCCAACGAAGCGGACTTTGTTTTCACAATGCATTGATCAGCATGCATCCATGGCTCCCGAACTCGACGCACCGTTCGATTGGATATTTTGACCGTATGCCTCGTTTACTTGGCATCTGCCAGCAGTCGGTTGAAGACCGTTGGATCGGTTACACCTTCCGAGCCGATCAGTACGATGCGCGCATCTTCGTTCAACACCATTGCGTCGCGCAAATCGCGCTGCGTTGCAGCGCAGATCAAACCGCAAAGTCCGGCGACCGCGCTTTCACCAGCCTCTATGCGGTGGTTCGTTGCATTCCCGTTGGCAAGCATGCGAACCGCCGGTGCGACCACGTGTTCAGGGATCGTGACGAAGCCGCTGACCAGAGCAGACAAGACCGGCCAGGCGACCGCGGAAGGCACACCGCATGACAGGCCCGCCATAATCGTTTCTGCCTCGATGTCCACGGCAGTCATGGCCCCGGCTGCAGCGCTCGCATACAGGCAAGGTGCGAGTTCTGGTTCAACCAGGAAAATACGGGGAGCGTCCGCGCCCCAGGCGTCGTGAAAAGATTTGCTTACGGCAGCTGCCAGTCCGCCAACGCCCCCTTGAAGGAAAACATGTGTCGGCGCAGTTGGCAGGTCCCGCACGACTTCGCGCGCCATTACTCCATAACCGGCCATGACTTCCGTGGGTGTCTGGGTGTATCCCTCCCACGAAGTATCAGAAACAATGTGCCAACCGTGTTTTTCGGCATCCACCCGCGTTTGGGCGACCGCTGCATCGTAATCTCCGTCCAGGCGGATAACCTCTGCGCCCAGCATGCGAATTGTCTGGGCACGGTATTCACTCACTTCCGCATGTATATAGATGCGGCAACGGGCACCGAAGCGGGCAGCACCCCAGGCTACCGAACGGCCATGGTTTCCATCCGTGGCTGAAATCACGGTCAGAGCGGCGGCCTGTTCCGCGAATGTTTTCTTGCGGATTTCGGCAAGGCTTACGGGCTTGCCACTGGATTTGGCAATCTCGCGCTGAAGAAGAAGCATCACCGCGTAAGCGCCACCAAGCGCCTTGAAACTTCCCAGTCCGAAGCGTGGGCCTTCGTTCTTGTAGTGTATGCTCCCCAGATCGAGCGCCCTGCTCAGCCCGTCGAGTGGAACCAGCGGGGTTTTTTCATATCCATCCCAGCATGTGATCTCATTTTCCGCCAGGTCGAATTTCTCCCGGGTAAGCGCGCTGGGCACATTGGGCTCTTTTCTGGCGCGCGCCGCAAAAAACTGAACATTGGCCTTTTCGAACTGGTCGAACATGAGAAGCGCTCCTTTTTCGATAATGGCGAAATATTCGCTCACTTTTCTCGAAATTTGCGCTATATTTTGCACCTTGTTTTGCAAAAAAAGTTCGTGTTGTGGCTGTGAAAAAAGCGAAACCATCTCTTTCTCTCGACACCTTCGACTTGGCGATTCTGAGAATTCTTCAACAGGATGCGACCGTACCGCAGCGATTGATTGGCGAAAGCGTAGGCCTGTCCGCACCTGCTGTTCAGCGCCGCATAAAGCGCATGCAAAATGACGGCGTGATCGCTTCGCAGGTCGCTGTGCTCGAACCTGGATACGTCGGACTTCCACTGACAATCGTGGCTGAAGTCGAACTGAAGACTGAATCAGGTGGGCGAATTGACGAGGTGAAGGCAGAGTTTCTTCAAGCCGAGGAAATTCAGCAATGCTATTATGTGACAGGCGAAACAGATTTCATTCTGATCCTGCTCGTCAGTGACATGGCAGAGTACGAGGCCGTTACGCAGCGACTGTTCTTTGGCAACGAAAACATCAGGAAATTCAAAACCTTTGTAGCGATGGACCGGACAAAGACATCCACGAGCGTGAACATCTGATCCGTAGACAGGCCGATCGAATTGCGAGGCAACCGGGTGTATCGATGTGAATTGCTGGATTTCCAGGACCGTGGCTCTTCGTTCGTGCCGTCGTTAAATCTTGCATTGTCGTCTGAGAACAATCCGCGAAATCGGAATGGATTTCCCGATTGTGCCGGCAAGCGGTTTTCTCAACCGCGTTGTTCACTGGTCTGCCACGGAACGACTTCCAGTTCCGGCCAGTGCGCTTTCATCCTCAGCGCCTTTTCTGCGTAGGTTTCGGGATTCAATTGTCCGTAGTTGGGCACCAGGCGCATGCCGAACAGGTTCGCCAATCCGAAGGGAGCATGAATGACAAGTTCGTCGGTACGGGTAAGGCGTGCGGCGACTGCATGTGTACGTGCCGCATAGGTCGTCAGGGCATCCATCGAACAGTCCAGTGGCCGGTAGGGCCGTCCGAAGCGTTGTTCGTACCACAGATGTACACGGGCCTGGTTTCGCACTTCGACGAGATGGGCAAGATCGGGCAGGGCCGTGTTGACCGTTCGGATAACCAGATCCTCGGCCTCGTATGACGGGTCTGTGCCGTCGAAATAGATGACATCAAAATCCTTGATGCCGTGAAGAAGCGGTCGGTCGGTCAGAACGTTCCACACCGTCTGGTAGATCCCGCCAGACACCAGCCATGCATCGGGCAGGCCAAGATCGCGGGCCGCGCGGAGGATCTGCATGACGTGCGGGACTGCGCAAAGAATTGTCGCAAGGTGTTCGCAGCGCTGCTGCTCACAGGCCCCGTATGGTTCGCCAAGGCGGGCTGTCGCGCCATCGGTTATTGGAGTGCTTGTCATGAAATCAACCTGCTGGACTGGACGAAAACACTAGCCGATTCTGAGGTTTGAGACATCCGTAGCTTTGACGAGGTTTCAAAAGGCGGTTGAAAATGGCGGTCCAGCTGTACATCGTCATCTTGCTTGACACACCGGCACCGGGTGCCATTTTGAATGTGGGGTCATCAGTTTTGGAAGTTTCGAATGAGCAGAACTTACGCGCTTGCGATGCAATCTATCTCAAAATGGCTGCCATTGACGCTCGGGTCGATGGCCTTGATGGCAGCTTCCGTACAACCGTCCGACGCCCAGTCCCGGCGGCCGGATTCGCGTGCCATGACGTGCTCGCAAGTTCAGTCGATGATTGAAAGGAATGGTGCCGTTGTCCTGAGCACCGGTCAGTACACGTTCGACAGATACGTCTATACCCGGAATTCTTGTCAGCACGGGGAAGTGACGCGCAACAAATGGGTGCCGACCAAGGACGTTCGGCAGTGCCGGGTGCGGGTCTGTATCGATCCGATGATCTTGAAGTTCAACGATTGATCGCATGCCGGTGACCCCGGATTTTCGAGCCTTGACAGCAAGCTGGAGGGACAAGAATGTCGCGTCTACAAAACACGTCACGAGAGCCGGGGCGGGTAGCCGTTTTGGCCGTCGGCGTCATGATGTTGCTGGTGTCGGGCCCTCCGGCCGCTCAGGCTCAATCGGCTCGGCCGGACACCAGGCAGATGACTTGCGCGCAGGCCCAGTCACTCGTCAAGCAACGTGGCAGCGTCGTCATGACGACGGGTCCGTCAACCTTCGACAAATTTATTGCAAATGTCAGCTATTGCCTGCCTGAAGCGAATATGATGCGCCCGAAATTCGCACCGACGAAGGACAACCCCAAATGTCCTGTCGGCAACAAGTGCTTCAGAAGCCGGAACGTCCGCTGACCGGTCTGTCGCCGGAAGGGAACGACCCGTCCGTGTAGTCGTGGGTGCTGCGCTGCATACCGTGTACTCGATGCAACGCAGCCGACCGCGATGAGGATCAGGTTATCCTCTGAGTGTTCCGCCGGTTGCCTTTTCGACATTGGCGATGATCTTCTTGGCAACAGCTTCGATTTCTTCATCCGTCAGCGTCTTTTGACGCGGTTGCAGGAGAACATCGATTGCGACCGATTTCTGATCGTCCGGCACGCCCTGGCCCACGTAGATGTCGAACAGCGTCACGTCGGCAATCAGGGTCTTCTCCGCGCCGCGAGCCGCCTTTAGCAGGACCTCGGCCTTGACGTCCTTGCCGACCAGGAAAGCAAAATCGCGGCGGACCGGCATCAGGTGGCTGGCATTCAGCGCGCCTTTTGACCGTCCACCCTTGGTCTTGGGCTGCGGCAGCGCATCCAGATAGATCTCGAACGCGACCAGCGGCCCTTCCAGGTCGAGGTCAGCAAGCGTCTTTGGATGGATTTCACCGAAGACGGCAAGTGCGTTTTTCGGACCGAGCTTCAGACAGCCGGAACGACCGGGATGAAAGGTACCTGGAGCATCCGTATGGACCTGCAGTTTTTCAACCGGGGCACCGATCGCGGCAAGTGCGGCCTCCGCATCCGCCTTGGCGTCGTAGACATCGACGCCTGTGGAAGACCCGGACCAGTGACGGCTGGCACCCTGCAATTTCGCTGTGCCGCGACGAACGCCCGCGGCGACCATCTTCTGGCCCTCGGGTGTATCGTCCTGAAATACCTGGCCGACTTCAAACAGCGCAACATCACCAAAGCCACGGTCAGCATTGCGCTGGGCGGCGGAAAGCAGGCCCGGCAGCAGGCTCGGGCGCATGTCCGACATCTCAGGCGAAATCGGATTTGCAAGCTCCAGTGCGGCGCTTCCGCCACCGAAGAGTTCCGCCTGCGGTTTGGAGATGAAGGACCAGGTGACGGCTTCGTTGAATCCGCGTGTGGCAAGTGCACGCCTGGTCCTGTTGCGACGGATCTGTCCGGTTGTGAGGACCTTCTGGCCGACGGTCCCCGTTCGCGGAAGAGGAGTAAGCGGCACGCGATCAAGCCCGAGGATGCGCACGACTTCTTCCACCAGGTCGGCCTTGCCCTCGATGTCCGGGCGCCAGCTCGGAGCTGCGACCTTGACCGTGTCGCCGGAACCCGAGATCCAGAATCCGAGAGATTTCAGGGTCAGGTTGGCCTCTGCTTGTGAAACTTCGACACCGGAAAGCCGGCGGATCTCCGAATAGGGGAAATCGATGATATTGCTGCTGTCGGGAACGCGGCCGGCCTGCGTTGTTTCCGACGGTTCACCACCACAAAGATCAAGCACCAGTCGCGTTGCATATTCGAGACCCGGCATCATGTAATCCGGGTCGACACCGCGTTCGAACCGGTAGCGGGCATCTGTGTTGACGCCAAGCTTGCGGCCCGTTGCGGCAATGTCATCCTCCTCCCAGAGCGCGGATTCGATCAGCACGTTGACAGTATCCTCGGTGCACCCGGACGGTTCGCCGCCCAGGATGCCGCCGAGGCTTTCAATGCCGTTGTCATCGGCGATCACACAGACAGTGTCGTCAAGCTCATAGGATTTGCCGTTCAGGCCGTCGATGCCCTCGCCGGCCCTGCCACGGCGGACCACCAGATTGCCGTGCACCTTGTCCGCGTCGAAGACGTGGAGCGGACGGCCCTGGTCGAACGTGAGGTAATTGGTGATGTCGACAAGGATGTTGATCGGTCGGAGCCCGATTGCGGTCAGGCGGTCCTGCAGCCACTTCGGCGACGGACCGTTCTTGATGCCCTTGACCATTCGCAGGCCGAACGCCTTGCACATCGGCCTGGTGTCGCCGAAGTCGAGAGAGACGCTGACCGGGCAGGGATAGTTGCCGCGGATCTGCTCATGCGAGCGTTCCTTCAGCTTGCCGAGGCCGGCAGCCGCAAGATCCCGGGCAATGCCGTACACACCGGTACAATCCGGTCGGTTTGGCGTCAGGCCGATCTCGATCACGGGTTCGTCGAGCCCCGCCCATTTGGCGAAGTTGACGCCAACAGGTGCATCTTCGGGCAGATCGATGATGCCGTCATGCTCGTCGGAAAGCTCCAGTTCGCGCTCCGAGCACATCATGCCGAAACTTTCCACGTCGCGGATCTTGCCGACAGACAAGGTAATGTCGAGACCGGGTATGTGATCGCCCGGTTTGCCGAGCACACCGACCAGACCGGCGCGCGCGTTCGGCGCGCCACAGACGATCTGGACCGGTTCGCCTTGCCCGGTATCGACCTTGAGCACGCGCAGCCGATCGGCATTCGGATGCTGTTCGGCTTCAAGGACCTTCGCGATCTTGAACGGCTTCAGCCGGTCGGCACGGTTGGTGACTTCTTCGACTTCCAGCCCGATCATCGTGAGACGTTCCACGATCTCTTCCAGGCTGGCGTCGGTATCAAGGTGTTCCTTGAGCCAGGAAAGGGTGAATTTCATCTGCCTTACTCTTTATCGCTTGGGCGGCGCTATCAGGCCGCGAATTCTTCAAGATCGCTGCGTCAGTTACCGAAGCGGCCAACTTCTGGCAGAACAGTCGCATCGCCGTAGTTCTCGGCGAAACGGCGTCCGATCGCACCAAATTCACCGGTCCACTGGCCCACCATGTCCGGCGTGATCTGCTGGTTTGTCGCAATCGCCTGGGCGGCTTCCGCCTCGATGCGGTCGCGCAGGATGCCAAGCTCTACCTGGGCGGCATATTCCGCCCGGTATTTTCCGAGCCAGCCCATCGCAACGATGATGACCATGACCAGCAAGGCGGCCGTACTTGTCAGGCCCGCCCATTTGGCAGTGCCGCTGATGCGCTTGTCGCTGGCGATCAGCACGATCGAAGCAATTGTCAGGAACGCCACGATGTAGATGGCCTGCAGGAAGCTCTGGTACTTTTCGGCGGAGCTTGCCTCATGATTGGCACGCAGCGTGGTGATCCGGTCACGCAGATAGAGCAGGGCGTCGGCCTCCGTCCCGAGCTTGTCGCGAAAGTATGTATCGCAAAAGCGCAGGCGTCCGCGCGCCTCGATCTTCTCGGCGCAAGCTTCCATGAAGGAGGTCGGAGTCGGCACGCGCTCGTCCTTGTCCGCAGTCTGGGCTGCGGCCGGAAGGATTGCTGCAAGGGTCAGCGCAATGACGAGATATATGCGGGTCAGCAGTGACATGAAGTGTTGCCCCCAGGGTCCGGGTGATTAGTTGGACAGGCCGCCAAACAGCGTCGGCAGGTCGAGAGGGCGGAAGCCATAGTGCTGGATCCAGCGGACATCTGCGTCGAAGAAGGCTCTCAGGTCCGGCATGCCGTATTTCAGCATTGCGATCCGGTCGATCCCCATGCCCCAGGCAAATCCCTGATAAACATCCGGATCAAGTCCGCAATTGCGGATAACGTTCGGATGAACCATGCCGCAGCCGAGGATTTCCAGCCAGTCGTCGCCCTGGCCGATCCTGACTTCGCCGCCGGACCGGTCGCACTGGATATCGACTTCCATGGACGGTTCGGTGAACGGGAAGAAACTCGGACGAAAGCGCATCTTGATGTCGTCAACTTCGAAGAAGGATTTGCAGAACTCCTGCAGAACCCATTTCAGATGGCCGAAATGGCTTTCCTTGTCGATCACGAGCCCTTCCACCTGGTGAAACATCGGCGTGTGCGTCTGGTCGCTGTCGCAGCGATATGTCCGCCCCGGGATGATCACGCGGATCGGCGGTTCCTGGGTCCGCATGGTGCGGATCTGAACCGGGGAAGTATGCGTGCGCAGCAGCAGGCGTTCACCGTCTGCCTTCTCGTTGAAGAAAAACGTGTCGTGCATCTCGCGTGCCGGATGGCCTTCGGGAAAATTCAGCGCCGTGAAATTCAGCTCATCGGTTTCGATGTCGGGGCCTTCGGCAATGGAAAATCCCATATCCGCAAAAATGGCTGTGAGTTCGTCGATCACCTGGCTGACCGGATGGATACGGCCGGTCTCCGCCGGTGAAGGACGCAAGGGCAGCGTGACGTCGACTGTTTCGCTGGCAAGGCGCTGTTCCAATGCAGCTTCTGCCAGGATGTCCTTGCGAGCGCTGATGGCGTCAGTGATCTTGGCTTTCAGGCCGTTCAGCGCCGGACCCATCACTTGTCGTTCTTCCGGGGTCATCTTGCCGAGTGTTTTCATTTGCTCGGAAATACGGCCCTTCTTGCCAAGAGCGTGGACCCGGACGTCTTCCAGTGCGGTTTCGGTCTCCGCGCCGTCAATGGCCGTAAGAAGATCGGATTCTAGGTTATCGAGATTGGACATGCATGCTCGGTTGTCGGTTCGCGCACAAAGCGCGGAAATGAAAGTCGGGGTCTTTTAGCGAATAATTGCGCACAATGCCACGGCCTCAAGCGCATTATTGCGTGAGCCCCCGGTGATTGGAAAAGCGCCGGAATAAAAGCGCATTAGCGCATAAATCGCCCACAGGCCGGACCCTGCCGTTGAGGAAAGCGCACGGCGCGTGTGTGCAACGCGTAGGCGCGTTTGCGATCATGGCAGCGATGTGCATCTTGGCTGGTCATGCGCGTCAATTTAGCGAAAGGCGTGGCAATGGCAAGGGAAAAGGCAGTTTGCCTCGGCCACTTCATCCCGTGGAACGCATGTGTGTGCATTTCGTGCGATGGGTCATTCAACCTGGTGCTCTTCGCCCATGCTTCAGGACGGACATCATGTCCTTCTCAAGGTGAAGTTCTGCAAGTGAAACGGCCAGCCTGCCTTTCGGAAGTCATCTTCGCTTTGATATCAACGGCAGCCTCTAGGCGTTCACCTCATCCGCACCTTTGGGCCGTCCGATGGAGGCCTGCAGTTCTTTCTTCAGCCAATCGCTGAAAGCCTGCTTCGCTTTCGTTCGCGGCGCATTTCTGCCGCTGATCAGCCAGTAACCGATTCCGGTCGCAGGCCTTTGCGGAAACGGAGCGATGACCTGTCCTGACTTGACCGCGTAAACTGCAAGCGTTTCCCATGCCAGAAAGACACCGTGGCCGGCGATTGCCGCGTCCAGGCACAACGAACCGTCGGAGAAGGTTGGGCCATCCCGCAGGATCGTTTCGTCAAGGCCAAAGAGATCCAGCCAGGTTTTCCAGGTGAACATCTGCCCAGGGTCGTGGATGATAGGCAGTTTTCCTATGTCCGCCGGTTCACGGATGTTCCGTGCGAGCGCGGGACTGCACACGGGAAAGACCCTTTGATTGAGAAGTTTCTCCGCATTCAGTCCGCGATAGGGACCGTGTCCGACCCGGATGCACAGATCGACGTCGCTTGTGTCGGGATCGACAAGTTCGACTGTGGCCTCGACCCGTACCCTGACGCCGGGATATGCCTTGTTGAATTCCTTCAAATGCCAGACGAGCCATTTTCCGGCAAAGACGGGCGCAACCGAGATGGTCAATGCGTCTTCCCGTCCTCTTTCAGTGGTTGCGACGGCGATGGAAAGAGACGACATGGCAGACGTCAGATGCGGTTGCATGGCCAGCATGTGGGCGGTCGGCAGCAACAGCCGGTTCTGGCGTTCAAACAACTGGACGCCCAGCTGGCCTTCGGTTTTCTGGACTTGCTGGCTCACCGCCCCGACTGTCACGCCGAGCTCTTCGGCCGCCGATTTGATCGAGCCCAGCCTTGCGACCGCTTCGACGGCGCGCAATCCGGTAATGTGGATTCGGTTGAGGTTTTTCATTATAGATATTCTAAATCGAAATTCAGAAGAAGTCGATTTTTTAAAGCGGAAAAGGGATCTATATAGTCAGCATAGCTAAATTCAAAGAAGGAATTTGGCCATGAAGAAAAGAACAATAATAAGGAGACTGAATATCATGTTGAAACTGTTTATGCGCCGTCAGGCAAGAGCGACATCACCGTCCTGGTACGACCGGACCGATCCGCTGTCCCATCCGGCTATCCAGCGCATGAGCCCGCGTGAACTCGCGGATCTGCCGCTCACCCGGCGCTGACTGCTGACCGGCAGAAACGCCGGTCACAAAAAACACCCGATCGGCCCGGCACTTGCGGCCGGTTGGAAAAAATCGCAATCAGAAAACGGCGCCTGGACCAGATCCGGCGCCGTTTCTGGTTTCAGGAGCCCTGCCGCAAAGAGTTGCGGGCTCTTTTTGTATTGATCTTTGTCCTTGACCTGGAGCCACTCCAGACCCGTAGATTTGCCTCAAGTCAAAGAGGTGAAGCCAATGCGGATTTCCGAAGCAGCGACGATATCGGGCCTGAGCGCCGACACGATCAGGTACTACGAGAAATCGGGTCTTGTGCCGGCAATAAAGCGCGGCCCGGATCGATTGCGCCGGTTTTCGCCGGAAAACATAGAATGGCTCACCCTGCTGTACTGGCTGCGCAAGACCGGGATGCCGATGAAGGAAATGCGGCGCTTTGCGGAACTCTACCGCCAGGGTGCGTCCAGCATCCAGGAACGCAAGGCCTTGCTGCTCCGGCACGAAGTGCGGCTTCGGGAACGTCGCGCTGACCTGGATCAATGTTCAAAGGTACTTGCCTACAAGATTGAAACATACAAGAAAATCGAAGGAGATCTGTCATGAAGATCATTCTCGTTGGTGCATCCGGCGACGTCGGCAAGACGGCCTTTGAGGAACTCTCCAGCCGTCACGAAATCATCACGGCCGGCCGGTCCTCCGGAGACATTACGGTGGATCTCGCATCGCCTGAGAGCGTCGAGGCAATGTATTTGCAGACAGGCCCGGTCGACGCGGTCATATCGGCAGCCGGAGAAGTTGAATTCGGTCGCCTTAGCGACATGACCGCCGACACGTTTCGCTATGGCCTTGAAAACAAGGTCCTGACGCAGATCGGTCTTGTGCTTGCCGGACTGAACGCTGTGAATGATGGCGGATCCTTCACCCTGACCAGTGGCATTCTGGACCGGGATCCGGTCCTGATGGGGGCAGGGGCCGCAACGGCGAACGGCGCCCTGGCCGGTTTTGTGAAGGCTGCGGCAATCGACCTGCCGAAAAACCTGCGCCTCAACGTCGTCAGTCCCGGCTTGCTTGAAGTTTCCTCTGACCAGTACGGAGCCTGGTTTCCAGGGCACGAATTGGTATCTTCCAGACGCGTTGGCCTGGCGTATGCAAAATGTGTCGAAGGCGCCATAACCGGCCAGGTCGTTGCCGTGGACTGAAAAGATTGACTGGACAGAAGGCGGCTCACCTAGCCATCACAACTCGACCGCCGAAGATTGTTTGCGCGATGCGCAGTCGGATTCAGGATGAACTCAGTGCACAAGAAGAAGGAGTTCTTTGTGGCGATGAATGTCTTGGACCGCAGCAGGCAATGATTGTCATGCCCGTGGGCAAATCCGGAACAGCTCCTCAGTTGAGATTCAACGCACGCCTGACCCTTGAGTATTTTTTCCTGAAGCGCGTTGCCGTTTTCGCAAGGAAAAGATCGGTTTTGACCGAGGCGCGCCGTTTGCGTTGAAGTGCCTGGGAAAGAAAGCTTCCCTTCGACATTATTTTTCTTTTGTCCTGAAGGCATCGCTCCAGCGAGGTCACTGCATTTTCAAAGCACATCTTTCGAACGACATCGCGCTGCAGGTTCAACAGGCGCTCGTACTCAAGAGGATTGTCGTCCAGGTACCGGACTTTCTCTGTCAATTCTTCGAGATTTTCAACCGAGCAGCCTTCGGGAATCAACTCCTCATGGATCAGTGTGTCGCGAGGGAGGAGCACGAGAGTTCCGCAGGAAACAGCTTCAATGACCGAGTTGCCCCGGATCAGTCGTCCTCCCAGTTTGACGAAGTATTTTGCATCGTAAAGTTCCTGCAGATTTTCTTTGATGTTCTGCTTGTGGATGCGAACCCGATAACCGTCGTCAACGAGGGGTTTGAGCTCATCGGGAGGAGATTGGACCGGCCGCTCCGAGGACATGTTGATCTCTGCATATACGCCGTCCTGCAAAGATCCTCGTCCCAACTCCTGCCTCAGGAGGTTTTCAAGACAATGCGGACCAACAAATGTGTAGGGGAAGTCGACCGCACCGCCGATTTTCGACGTGATGTTGTTTGAGATCAGCTGGTTCAGGCAAACGTCGTAGCCGAATTCCGCCCATTTCGAGGCCAGGTTCGCTTCGCCGATCATGTAGCAGAACAAGACTTGCGGATGCTGGCGAATGACGTCTTTCGGAATTGAAACATTGATCGAAATGACAACGTCGAAATCCGACCAGTCGATTGAGCGGCAAGGCACAGAGAAATGACCGTTTGGGTACGGACTGCCGGGTCTTTTGAACTCTTCACCTGGAAGATGCTCGATCGTCTTGGTCTTCAGGAGTTTCACGTCATCTGCGATTTTCGGAATAACGCTTCGATAGATCTGACACTCCGGAGCCGGATCCTCATCCACAATGTAAAAGGAAGTGTCGAGTTCGGTGAACAGCCCGACCGGCCCGACCCTCATCATTGAGGAAAAGAGCAGCGCATGCGCGTCTTTTGTCCCTGCCGGACAGACATATAGGTCCTGGTAAACATCCTGTTTGACAAAAGCAATTTTCATACGAATCTCATCAGAACGTAAGACGGTGAAGCAGTCGCAAGTCGCTTAAAATACTTGATTGTGAATAACAAGCGTCCTCATGCAGCAGAGTTGAGCAGCCGAGCCTCCCAGTAGGTTCCGGAACAGGTTTTCGATACCAGGAGAACTATACAGGACATCACACAGTGTACATGTCTTTTGCGAGTGACCGGTTATTATCACCGGTCAGCAGAACACGTGCGCACGAACCTCGCAAACTGCCTATGCCGCGAATGCCGCAAGTGCGGTTTCTGCCTGTTTGAAATCGATTGGACAATCTCCGGGTCTTGCGCAGGGCTTCGTGACAGCCGGTTCCTTACTCATCCATCTTCAGGGCCTGGATGAAGGCTTCCTGAGGGATCTCGACCTTGCCGAACTGGCGCATCTTCTTCTTGCCCGCCTTCTGCTTTTCCAGAAGCTTTCGTTTTCGGGTCGCGTCGCCGCCGTAGCATTTCGCGGTTACGTCCTTGCGCAGGGCCGAAATGGTTTCGCGGGCGATCACGCGTCCACCAAGGGCGGCCTGGATCGGAATCTTGAACATGTGCCGCGGGATCAGGTCCTTCAGCTTCTCGCACATGGCCCGGCCACGGCGCTCCGCCTGGCTGCGGTGGACGAGGACGGACAGCGCATCCACCGGCTCATCATTGACCAGGATCGACATCTTGACGAGGTCGCCCGCCCGGTAGTCGGAAATCTGGTAATCGAATGAGGCGTAACCTTTGGAAACTGATTTCAGCCGGTCATAGAAATCAAAGACGACTTCATTGAGCGGCAGGTCGTAGGAGACCATGGCGCGTGAACCGACATAGGAAAGATCCACCTGGATACCACGCCGTTCCTGACAGAGCTTCAGGATGGCACCGAGATAGTCGTCGGGCGTCATGATCGTTGCCCGGATCCACGGTTCGCGGATTTCTGTAATCTTGACGACATCCGGCATGTCCGCCGGGTTGTGCAATTCGAAATCCGAGCCGTCTGTCAGCGTCATCTGGTAGACAACAGACGGCGCGGTCGCGATCAGGTCCAGATTGAATTCACGCGACAGTCGCTCCTGGATGATTTCCAGGTGCAGCAAGCCGAGGAACCCGCACCGGAAGCCAAATCCGAGCGCTGCGGAAGTTTCCATTTCGAAGGAAAAGCTCGCATCATTGAGCCGAAGCTTGCCCATCGCGGCGCGCAGGTCTTCAAAGTCGTTGGCATCGACCGGAAAGAGACCGCAGAATACGACCGGTTGGGCCGGCTTGAAACCCGGCAGGGGTTCTGCGCACGGCTTCTTGTCCAGCGTGATCGTATCGCCAACCCGTGTGTCGGCCACTTCCTTGATGGATCCGGTGATCACACCGATTTCGCCGGAACGAAGCTCATCCACCTGAATGAATTTCGGCGTCATGGCACCGACGCGGTCGACGTCGTAGGAGGCGCCCGTTCCCATCATCTTGATTTTCTGACCCTTCTTCAGCGAGCCGTTGATGACGCGTACCAGGACCATCACACCGAGATAGGTGTCGTACCAGCTATCGACCAGCATCGCTTTCAGGGTTTCGTCCGGATCACCTTTGGGCGCCGGCAGCTTGTGGACGATCGCTTCCAGCACATCTTCGACACCGAGTCCGGTCTTCGCGGAGATCATGCAGGCATCGGAGGCGTCGATCCCGATGACGTCTTCGATCTGTTCCTTGATGCGCTCCGGTTCGGCAGCCGGCAGATCGATCTTGTTCAAGACCGTGACGATCTCGTGGTCGTTGTCGATCGCCTGATAGACGTTTGCGAGCGTCTGCGCTTCCACACCCTGCGAGGCGTCGACCACAAGCAGAGAGCCTTCGCAGGCGGCCAGCGAACGTGAAACCTCATAGGCAAAGTCCACGTGGCCGGGGGTGTCGATCAGGTTCAGCGTATACTGCTGGCCGTCCTTTGCAGTGTAGATCAGCCGGACAGTCTGAGCCTTGATCGTGATACCGCGTTCGCGCTCGATATCCATGGAATCGAGAACCTGTTCGGTCATTTCGCGGTCGGTCATCGTTCCTGTCATCTGGATCAGACGGTCGGCGAGCGTCGACTTGCCATGATCGATATGGGCCACGATGGAAAAATTTCGGATGTTGGAAAGCGTCTTCGTCGTCATGGCCGCCCCTTTACCACCGCAATTTGCTTTCGACCAGAAAAATGCGCGCGTGGTAGCCGGAAATCCGTTGCTTTTTTGCGGAACAAACGATGGTCAGGTGCTGCAGCTGTTCGGCGGTGCCGGTTCCCTACCGGCAAATGACGTATATCAGGCATGATATTTATCATGACAATTCAAATTCGCCGTGAGATCGGGCGTCACCCGCGGAATTCGAACTGCCCGCAAATGAGATGAACCATGCATATTCGAAACGCTGAAGCCAAAGATATCCCCGCCATCCTGGCGCTCTACAATCATGCGGTGCGAGAGACGACGGCTGCCTGGACAGGCTGCGAGGAGACGCTGGAGGACCGGGTGATCTGGTTTGAAGCCAGAAAAAGCCAGGGCTTCCCGGTGATTGTAGCGGTGGACACACAGGAAAGAGTGGCCGGGTTTGCCAGCTACGGGCCATTCCGTTCGAAGGAGGGCTACCGGTTCACCGTTGAACATACGGTTTATGTCGATCCATCAAGGCACAGGCAGGGGATTGGCAGAAATCTGATGTTTCGTATTCTGGAGATCGCTGAAGCCGACGGGATTCACGTTCTTGTCGGGGGCGTCGACGGCGACAACCTCGCTTCTATCCGTCTCCACGAGGCGCTTGGCTTTGAAGTCACTGGAAGATTGCCGCAAACGGGCACGAAATTTGGCCGCTGGCTGGATCTGGTGTTTCTGACGAAGGTATTGAGCGAGACGAGAGCGCCTGAAGGCCGGTAGGCGTTCTGTGCCGATATGCGTTTTGAACGTCATGCCTGACAAGTTCGCGACTGCGACAGCGATTGAAAATTTGGCAAAACGGCGATCCGGGGCATGGTCCATGACACTGGAACGGAGAACAATCCTACTGCGCCGTCAGCACAGTCTGGCAGGCTTTGGGCAGGGCTGCGAGTGCCATTGGTCGTTTTTTGACGATTTTCGGTTTTTCACCCGGCTTGGGCGGGTTCTTCGGCACCCATGGTTCGTCGGACAGCCAGTAGGTCAGATGTGAACCGCATCCGTCTCCCGGAGGCGGAGGGTTCTGGTTCTTGCAGCCGCCGCTTCCTTTCGGACAGGCAAGGCGGACATGGAAATGATAGTGGTGCCCCCACCACGGGCGCACCTTGCGCAGCCAGGCACGGTCACGGCTCTTTTCGAATTCGCAAAGGGCCTTCTTGATCGTCGGATTAACGAAGATCCGGGCGACACGCTTGTCGGAGGCCGCACGGCGGATCAGGCGCGCATGGGTATCTGTCCACTTTCTCGGATCAACCCGGCGATCGGCGCCTTTGATATCGAGAGGGCCCTTGAGCATCGAAATCGCGGAGATTTCCTCGCGCTCTTCAACCGTAAGCCTCCGGTTCGGCATTTCCGTCAGCCAGATATCGGCATCAAGGCCGATCTGATGACTGGCGTGGCCAGAGAGCATGGGTCCGCCGCGGGGTTGGGCGAGATCTCCGACCAGAAGACCGTTCCAGCCGACTTTCGGTGCATCGGTCGCAAGATCCTTGAGATAGTCGATCAGTTCCGGGTGTCCCCAGTTTCTGTTCCGCGAAAGTCGCATTGCCTGCCAGCTCGCCCCGTCAGGTGGAAGCGAAGCACCACCGGCAAGACAGCCTTTGGCGTAGGAGCCAATTGCACGCGCTTTCAGGGGAGCCGGGCCGTTCGCGGCTCCGAAATAGTCCTTTGCCGGCAATTGCGAGCGAAGCACCAGCTTGGGTTTCGTTGCGACGTAGCCCTCCGGAACTTCCCGTTTTTTCGCAGGAACAGGGACACCGGCAACAACTGTGAGGCTCGGCTGATAGTCTTCAGAAGCGGTTCCGCCCGGTTTGGCCGCCGGGACAGGTGTGACCGCGGCAAGAGAGGAGCTTGCTGCGACAACCGCAATCAACGCCACCAGGCCGGCAAAATGTCTCTTCCGGAAAGTCCGCTCAGATCGTCCACGCTCGGTCACGGGTCAGCCTCGTGCATCTGTGTCGGCAGGTTGCCGCAATCCTGCCTGTCGGCAATGCGGCAACCTGATCTTCAGGCAGCATGCACCAAATCGGGATGCTGCGCATCCGTTTCCGATGTTTCCATGTGGGCTTTCAACAGATCGGCCAACTCGTCGAGCAGAACCGTGTGGTCGCGGATCACCCGATCGGCTGCTCCGTTCAACGCGATGATGTTGCCGGGGCGTGCGTTGTCCATGTCTTCGGCTTCCGCGTCGAGAACAGCGTTCAGACGGTGATATGTCACGTTGGGCAATTCGTCGAAAAGGTGCTGTGCCTGGTAGGCGGACGTTTGAGACTGTCCGTCCGCAAAAATGGACAGGATGGGTACACCCTTGGACGGCTGCATCCATCCGAGCGCGCCCCATCCAATCGCTTCCTTGTAGGGGAACGGTCGTTTTTCAGCCTTGCCGGTTCCAAGTGACAGTATGACCAACTCGTCCTGGTCCCAGCCGATCTTGCGGGCTTCCAGATAGGCCGCGATTGCCGGATCGTTCATGAAGACACCGCCGTCGACAAGAGCCTCATCGCTCTTCAGGGTGAGGTTCTCGACACGGGCAGGTTCGAAATAGGAAGGTGCAGCCGTGGTCGCGCGCACGGCCTGCCAGAAATAGTAGTCATTCGGCCGGCTGCCGTTTTCCTCAAGTCCGTTGGTCATGAACACGGCCTTGCGCTGTTCAATGTCATACGCGGTGAGGACCAGTTTTGTCAGCGCGCTGGCCATGGAGGTCCAGCCGAACCTTTCTTTCAGGAGCTTTTCCAAAGGCCGCGCGTCATAGGTCTCGTCGAACAGGCCGAGCGGATTGCTCACCGCGCGTGCCAGCCGTGCCGTGATGGAATTCTTGAAGATGTCCCGCGCCTCGCGCTCGTAGAAATTTCTGAGCTCGGCAATGGTGGCAGCGGCTTCTCCGGCTGTCCCGCCGGGTCGCGGTGCGCTCAGTCCAGCGGTGATCAGTCCGCCGGTCGAAGTTCCGGCCATCAGGTCGAAAATCTGATGCATTGGCTTGTTGACGCCTCGCTGGCCAAGGCGGCTTTCAAGCGTTTCGAGAATGCGCAATGGAATAAGTCCGCGGACACCGCCGCCGTCAATAGATAGAATAAAACGTCTTTTCTGGGTCATGGTTGGTCCCCGGGGTGGTCAATCTGGAAGGGGCAGCGTCTGTTCGCAGGTCCGCCTCACACGCTTATGTTATCTGTCCTTAAATGTTTGCGACCAATTACGACACTGCAATGGCAATTTGAAAAAGATAGGACTTAATCGGAAAATTTGGAGAGCAATCGGTTAATCGAATTGCTGGAATTCTGCAGATTTTCAGCTCCCGTGGCAATTGCAACCCACAATACGCGTTTGCCGCCCTTTATCCGGAGGTTGATTTCGGCATAGGATCTGTCCGGATTTTTTACCACTCCGACAGGATGTTTCATGAATATCGAACTACTTCGCCGTCTGTGCGAAACACCGGGCGTCCCGGGGCACGAGCACCGGGTACGCGAACTCATTCAAGACGAGATCAAGGGGCTTTTCGACGAAGTGACCGTGGATCCGATGGGATCACTTCTGTGCCGGCGGAACAGTCGCAAGAGTTCCAGGAAGGGTGACCCGAAGAAGGTGATGCTCCTGTGTCACATGGACGAGATCGGCTTCCTGGTCTCGCATGTCACCGACAAGGGGTTTCTTCACGTTCAGCCGGTCGGCGGTTTCGATGCGCGCAACTTGTTCTCACGCCGGGTTCTCGTTTCCACCGACGACGGTGAATTCAAGGGCGTCATGAACCCGGGCGGCAAACCCATCCACATCTCTTCGCCCGAGGAACGAAAAAGGTTCCCGAGCCAAAGGACTTCGTGGTCGATATCGGGCTTGGCGACAAGGCCAGGGACGTCGTCAAGGTCGGTGACATGGTGACGATGGACGAGCCCCTGATCGAGATCGGAGACAAGATCGTTTCTAAGGCACTCGACAACCGTATCGCTTGCTGGCTCGGCGTGGAGGCCGTCAAGGGGCTTGGCAAGTCAAAGCACGAATGCGAGATCCACGTTGCCTTTACGTGTCAGGAGGAGGTTGGCCTGCGCGGTGCGCGAACCGCTTCCTTTGCCATCAAGCCGGATATCGGCCTGGGTGTCGACACGACCCTTGCCTGTGACACGCCTGGTGTTCCCGAACAGGACCGCACGACAGTCCAGGGCAATGGCTTCGGTCTGCATGTCAAGGACAGCAGCTTCATCGCCGACCGTGATCTTGTAAAGGAATTCGAGGCGCTTGCGGAAAAGGAAAAGATCCCGTTCCAGCGCACGATGCTGGCGGCGGGTGGCCAGGACGGGGCAGCGGCACAGCAGGCTGCCGCAGGTGCCAAGGCCGTCGGCATCGTCGTCGGTACGCGCTACATCCACACGGTGACGGAAATGATCCACAAGTCGGATCTTCAGGCGGCCCTGGACGTGCTGGTGGCGTATCTGAAGAAGGCTTGAGGACTTTCTGATGGGCAAGGAGGCATAAGCGTCCTTGCTCCAGTCCATTGGTCGCCATCCCGCTCAGGCACATCGTGAACCGGGACCAGGGTGCGTTCACCCCTTGGAAGTTGGGGATTGTCTCGGGCTCTGACACATGCCGACCCCGGATATTTGCCACACGGCGTCCGGGGCGACGATGCCAGGATTTGGTGTCGAAGTCTTGCGGATGATTTGGTTACGCCAACAGACCGGCGAGGTTCGAAACCTGTTCGCCCGTTCCGGCATAGAGTTCGCTGACAGACGCGCTCTGGTAGCTGAAGGAGCCGTTGTCGAATTCGCCTTCGATGCTGGACGCGCTTGCTGAACGAACCGAGAGCCCGGTTTCGCTGTTGTAGGAAACCCGCTCAAAAGAAACGAATTGCGCTGACACGGTTTCGCCGCCGATCTCCGCTTCGATAGTGGTGGTGGAAATGGAGGCGCTTTCATAGGCAAGGGAAGCGGAAGGACCTTTTTCTTCCTCGCCGAGAGCAGCTTTCAGTTTTCCGGCAGCTTTCTGGTAATCCTCGACGGTCGCAAGGGCCTTGTCCTTGCTCTTCTCGTCGTCTTCGCCCTTGCCCTTGTCGACAGCTTGCTGAAGCGTGGCGATAACCACGGCATCTTCTTCGGCTTTTTTGCTCGCCGCCTCGAGAACGGATACGGCGGGGGCCTTGTTATGGCCGTTACGCTGGCCGATATCGTGCCCGTATGCATGACCTTTCGGACCGTGCCCGGATCCTTCTGGACCACCGCTTGAAAAGGAAGCTGAAAACAGGCTCGAACTCTGGGTCGTGGTTTCGACGGAGATCTGCATGTGCTTGAATCCCGGTTTCGCCGGCCCTTCCTGGTCCGGCACAGATCCTGACAGCATCCGGCAATTGGGTTAATAGGCCATTAACCAGTAACGCCGGGAAACGGATCAGGGTTGGACTTCAGCCGAAAAGGTGGTTTTTGAGGAAGCCTCCGCCAAGCGACAGACCCCTGTCGTCGATCGCATGACCGAGGCCTTCCAGCTCGTGGTAGTCGACCTGCAGCCCGGCGGTGGCCAGCGCATCACGCGCAGCTCTGCCGTGATAGCTTGCCACGACGTCATCTTCAGCACCGTTGACGATCAAAACGGGAGTGTTCGTGTTGATCCGATTGAGCCTGTCTACCCCGGGAAGCAGACCCGAATAGGCAATGAGCGCGGCGGGCGGCGTTGTCCGCCGCAGGCCGCATTGCAGCGTCATCATCGCCCCCTGACTGAAGCCGACGAGCGAGAGCGATTGCCCATCGAGTGAAAGCTTGTCCAGTTCCCGGTCCAAAACCGGTCGAGGATGGGCTGGGCGGCTTCGGCGCCGATCCGGTATTCCGTCGGCGTGCGCTCGTTCAGGGCAAACCACTGGCGCCCGCCGAAGCCTTCAAACGGCAAGGGCTCTGGTGCATGCGGTGAAACGAAGGCCGTTTCCGGAAAAAGAGGTTGCCAGAAACGAGCCAGATCGATCAGGTCGTTGCCGTCAGCCCCGTAGCCGTGCAGAAGAACGATGAGGTGCCTGGCAGCCCCGCCGGAGACCGGTGGCAGGCGTGGTCCATCGAGAAAGGAGACCTCGGACATTGGGAATTACTCCGCTGGGTTTTCCCGTTCCGAGGCGGTGGCGTCGGACAGATGTTTTTTCTGCAGTTTCATGAAGGGCAGCGCGATCAGCATGGACGCGAGGATCAGAAGCCACGCAAGCGCGAACGGCGCACCGGGAAATGAGATAACTGCATCTGGACCGGAGAAATGGGCAAAGGTCTGTGTCATGACGAACGGGCTGACCACCATGGAAAGACCCGCGGCGCTTGAGATCAAGCCTTGAAGTTCGCCTTGTGCATTATCAGGAATTCGGTTTGACATCAGTCCTGTGAAGGCGGGGGTTGCCAGCGCACCGAATGCGGCGAACGTGACCATTGCATAGGCCATCCAGCCCGTATCGGCGACAGCCAGGCCTGCGAAGGCGACAAGGTTGGCGCAAAGCCCGATCAAGAGGGTTCGTCCTGGTCCGAATTTCGGCTCCAGCACCCGGATAAGGTACCCCTGCACAAACGCAAAACCGACACCGACAAAGGCAAGTGACAGACCGATGTCGCCGGGCGTCCATGCGAAGACCTCCTCGGCGTAGTAGCTCCAGACCGCCGGATAGACATAATGGGCAATGTCGAACAGGAAAACGGCCAGCAGAAGTGTCCGGACGGCGGGGTACTTGGCGATCTGTTTCAGGGCACCAAGAGGATTGGCGCGCTTCCAGTCGAAGGGGCGCTTGTTGTCTTCCTTCAAGGTCTCCGGCAGCATGAAGTAGCCGAACAGGAAATTGATGAAGGAAAGCAACGCTGCGGCATAAAATGGCGCTCGCGGTCCATATTCGCCCAGGAAGCCGCCAATCATCGGGCCGAGCACGAAGCCGACGCCGAAGCCGGCGCCGACCAGCCCGAAATTCTTGGCCCGGTCCTCCTTTGAGGAAACATCTGCAATATAGGCGGAAGCGGCCGAGAAGGTCGCACCTGCAACGCCGGACAGCGTCCTGCCTATGAAAAGGATCACCAGATGCCAGGAAAGGGCCATGATCAGGTAGTCGACAGCCATCGCGAACATGGACACGAGCAGCACGGGCCGACGCCCGAACCGGTCCGAAAGATTGCCGAGCGTAGGTCCGCACAGGAACTGCATCAACGCGTAGATCACACTGAGGGCTCCGCCCCATCGAGCTGCCTCGCTCACCGGGAGCGACGTCAGCTCGGTCAGCAGCGAAGGCATGACCGGCATCATCAGGCCAATACCCATGGAGTTGATGATCAACGTGATCAGAATGAACGTGAGAGCGCTTCTCTTTGACATACCGGCCGGCAAGATGACTTCCTTGGTGAGGCGATAATAGTTCGCCGGGTGCCGATTTGCGACCCGCCTTCCGCGAATGGTCCGGTCACGGCCGCAAGTGCGACCGTGACAATCTGGTTCAGTTCGCCTCTGGTTTCTGGATCTGGAAAATCAGCCCCTGAACCTCCTGGCCAAGTTCCTTGCGCAGGACTTCCTGGCGGTCCGTCTTGTAAATCAGCGAAGCTTCTTCAGTGGATTTGCGAATGTAATCAGGTGTGTGTGCGTAGCGCCCGGAGGCGTCGACACGAAATTCGGGTCCGGAATCGTCGACAAGATGTTCAACACTGGCAACCAGGATACCGCCGGGTTTCAGCGCACCTGCCAGTGCCTTCATGAACGGGCGCAGATTGCCGATATAGCAAAGCGTATCGACGCAAACAGCCAGATCGAAACGGGTTGGCAGGTCGGAACTCAGGAAGGAAACCAGTTCTCCCTCGACCAGAAAGTCATAGACGTTCAGTTGCGCTGCCTTTTCCATCATGCCGCGGGACAGGTCGACACCGGTCAGCTTGCCGCAGTGGTCGCTGATCAGCGGACCGCACAGACCGGTTCCGCAGCCGAGATCGACGACGTCCGGAAAGGGTTCCGTCTTTTGACCGGCGAGCGCAACAACGTCCTCGGCCACGAGTTCCGGCGCGCGATACCCGAGACCTTCAAGAACTTCATCGAACGAGTCGGAAAACTTGTCGAAATGGGTTTTGACATAGTCCTCCGGAGCGTGTTGCAGGTCATCTCCGCGCACCGCTGAAAGATGATAGTGCGCGGCTTTGTTCTCCGGATCGGCAGCGACAATATTCTCGAGGTGGATTTTGGAAAGATCGGGGCGTCCAAGTGCACTCAGAACGCGCGCGCGCCAGAGAGCCTGCGGCGCTTTCGGGTCATCGAACCTGAGCGACTTCTCGAAGGCGTCTGAAGCTTCCTCCTTCGAACCCGTGAACATCAGCGCGAGGCCGTAGGTATGCCAGGCGTTGGGATTATCAGGGTCGAGGCGAACGATCTCCGACATGATCGTCAGGATTTCGTCATAGTCGCCCGACGCCCGCAGAAGGACATTGATGTTTTTCCACGCTTCTTCGTGCCTGGAATCGAGTTCCACGGCGCGAACATAGGCTGCAAATGCTGCCTTTGGCTCGCCGACGATCTTGAGAATGTTACCGAGATTATTGAGGGCCGACGTGTTGCGTTCATCATTTTCAAGCGATTTCTGGATCAGATCGATCGCGCTGTCGGCTCGTCCCGCATCAAAATGCAGCAAGCCGAGAAAATGTAGTCCGTCCGCGTGTTCCGGATCCTTGTTCAATATTTCCAAATAAATGTCTTGTGCAGTTTCCAGATCACCTTTGCGATGTGCTGCGATGCCTTCCTGCAACCTTTCATCAGTCTGCATGTTTCCCCCAATAAAAAAGGGCGGTCGAACCGCCCTTGCATTCGGAAAGTTCTGTAAAGCGACTTTACAGGACTTTCAGGTCTTCAGCCACCATCTGCCCACGGCGCCACTCCAGATCGAAAACCACAAGCTGGCCTTCCGTCAAGGTGTCGATGCCGGACCGGTGCAGGGCCGAGATGTCAACGAGGATGTCCTCGCCGTCTTCGGGTTCGATTGTGCCGACACCGCGGCCCTTATCAAACCATTTCACATTTCCATGTTGCATGGAGCTTACTTTCCAATTTTACTCATCGAGACATACAGTTTGAGTTTCTACCTTCATTTTTCGACGTCTTGATGACAGTGTTTCTGATAGCGCTAAAGTACTTTTCAAATTTCCTTTTGAAATAAACACGCACGTGCGCAGCTACTGTGTGCCGCCGCAAACTTTTGCGCAGTTCAATTTCAGAAGGAATCAGCTTTCCCGGCTAATAAGTGCGGGAAGTCTTAGCTTCTCTTAGTATGGTAAGGAATTTGTTAATTTCAAGGTACGACCTAAAACAGGTCACGGCAGCAGCGACTGCTGTCGCTGCTGTTGGTCTTGTCGCAAAAAGGGACCGCGGCATGAATTCCGGCAGGCACCGGACCGGTCCGCCGCGGCGATAAGCTGTTACCTGTCCAACTGCCCGAGGATCACGTATTTCAGAATTTCAGCAACCTGTTCCGACGTTTCGGCAACGGCAAGCGCAGCACCGTCGACTTCTTTGAGTGGATGGGTCAGCGACGGATCGTGAACGACGATCAGCGATTTTCCAAGCGCAGACGCGTAGCCTGCGTCGAAGGCCGCGTTCCATTGCTTGTACTGATCCCCGAACCGGACGACGACGATGTCCGCCTTTTCGATCAGCGTGCGGGTCCGGATCGCATTGACCTTGGCACCCTTGTGGTCATACCAGAATTTCTTGTCCTCGCCGCCGAGAATGACAGCGCCGCAATCATCGCTCGCCGAATGGTCTGTCACCGGTGCGGAAAATTCCACCGGCAGGTCAAGTGCTTTCACACCGTCGACAATTCTTTCACGCCAGTCGGTATGAATCTCACCTGAAAGATAAACGCGCCAGTTGCTCATAGTGTCGACCCCTCGATCATTGGTTCCAAATAGGCTTTGGTTGATGCAGAAGCTGTTACGTCCCGGGCGTCGCGTCAAGGTCGGGGACCGGTCCTGAAGCCTTCAACAACAGAGCAGTCCGATCAGATACGCCAGGTTTCGGGCAAAACATTCCTATTTCGTATTCAAATGCCACACGCCATCCCAGGCGGCCGGTGCGCCCTGCGCCGAGATCAGTTCAAGCCGGTTTAGAAATACCGTAGCGATCTGATCGTTTGGAAAAGTTCCAAGAATTTCTTCAAAAGCCTGCTGCGCCTCCGACCAGCGTGCCTGGGAGAAGGCACGAAGTGCTTCTTCTGAAGCGGTTTGCAATTTCGACAGATCCTCGGTCATTTCGTCTGATCGCGCCAGCGGGGTGTAGACACTGGTCGGCTCCGTCTTGCCCTTCACCTGGATCTTGTCGACTGCGCGGAATTCGATTGCCGAGACCGTGTCCCGGGTTCTCTGGCAAACGAGGATCTGGGTGCCATAGATCTTGTTGGCGCTTTCCAGCCGCGCGCCAAGGTTCACCGTGTCGCCCATGATCGTATAGTTCTTGGTCTTTTCCGACCCGATGGAGCCGATCACGGCATCGCCGGTCGCAAGTCCGATCCGTTGCCTCAGGACCGGCAGGTTCTTTTGAAGACCGGTCAATTCCGGCAGCTCCTTCTGGAACTGCAACATCAGTTGGACATTGCTGAGGGCGCTCTCAACCGCGAGCGTTGCCTGATCCCCGTCATTGCTGAACGGTTGGGCCCAGTAAGCCATGATCGCGTCACCGATATATTTGTCGATCACGCCCTGGCGGTCGGTGATCTCGGTCGACATCAGGTCGAGATACCTGTTGAGGACCCGAACGAGACCACCGGGTGTGAACTGCTCGGATATCGTTGTGAAGTCGGCCAGATCGGAGAAATATGCGGTGACCACCTTTTTCTCGCCCGCCGACGCGTCGGATTGATCCGAGATCAGACCTGTAACCACACGCGGATCAAGATACTGGCCGAACGTGTCCTTGATCTTCTGCGTCGATCTCAGTCCGTCGACCATTGTGTTGAAGCTTTGGGTCAGGGCGCCGATCTCATCGCGCGACAGCGGTTGGAGCCGGACGTCAAAGTCGCCATCCTCGACACGCTTTGCCCCGGACGAAAGGGCCCGCATGGGTTTGAGGATGCCGGATATGACGAGGGTTGAAAGCAACAAGGCCAACGCACCGGCGGAGGCCGTTGCCGCTATGCTGGCATATAGGGCCTGTTGCTCGTGAAGAGCAGCGGTAGCAATAGACTGGTCGGTAAAGGCGCTGACATGCTGGCGAAGCGAGTCGAGCCGTTCTGTGAGTTTTTGTTCTTCACTCTCCAACTGCTCCTCAAGGTTTTCCCGTGTCGCTGGTGGCAGGTCCGATGACTTCACCAGATTGAGCGCATGGCTGTGGAAGCTGCTGTGTTGTGTTTCTATCGCGATCAGCGTCGGATAGAGGGCTGCCAGTTCCAGCTTGTCCGTCAGAGACGAGGCCGTGTCCTGAGCGGAACGGACGCGTCTTTCAGCCGATCTCAGAAGAGACTCAACGGTGTTTGCATGGGTCTCGAACAGGTTGAGACCCGCCTTGAGCCTTGCTTCCAGGTGGTTGATCCTCGCTTCAATGTCCGGATGTTCACTGATCGCGGCATCGATTTCCGTATCGGTTGCTCCGGAATTGAGTGCTTCAAGACGGTCCGCGCGCAGTTCCGCTTCCAGTTTCTCAACCCGCTCCAGTTCAAGCTCTTCCTTTAACGCAATCACTTCGATTTGCGCGACTTCATGCCGGAGTGGCGAAAAGACCTGCGAGATCAGCTGAAGTTCCTTGTTGATCTCGAAGATCTTGTAGATCGAATAGGTGGCAGCGGTCGCCATGACCAGAAACACGATCAGCGAGATTCCGAATATCTTCCATGCAATGCGCATTGTTTGGTTGGCCTAACGATCCGGGCAGATGATGGACTATACCTGTTTCGGTTGTAGCAGGTCTTCGAGTGCCACACGATAGTTGGGATACTTGAAGGAGTATCCCAGTTCTTCCTTCACTCGCTTGTTTGAGACCCGCTTGTTTTCTCCATAGAAAGATCGGGCCATCGGCGTCAGGTCAGCGGTCTCGAACGGAATTTCCGGCGGCGGTTCGACACCAAGCAACTCGGCGGCAAAGGCAACAACGTCCTGCGGGGGAGCAGGCTCGTCGTCGGTTATGTTGAAGACTCGGGTCACAGGCCGTTTCATGGCAAGGCTCATGGCGCTCGCGATGTCTGCGACATGGATCCGGTTGAAGACCTGGCCCGGTTTGACGAGCCGCCGGGCTTTGCCCTTTTTGAATTTCTCGAACGTGTTGCGTCCGGGGCCATAGATACCGGACAGTCTGAAAATTTGAACCGGCAGATCATGTTCCGCTGCAAACTTCAACCAGGCTTCCTCGGCTGC